CTAGGTTTGTAATTTTTAATCTTTTGACTCGACTGAGTTTAAATAAGAAGTAAGATGAAGCCGGATAGTGTTCTTGGTTTAGTATTAACGTGAGATTCTTACAAGAATGAAACCCAGCTCTGACGATGTCCATCGAATGATGGACGAAAGCTCAGCACGTTTTCACCCGAAACGAGGGAGGGACTCATGGACTGCGTCAACATGAATATAATATAAAAGCTAAATGACTGCAGTACAACGAGTTTCATCCGTCCTCATCTGGTGAGATCGACAAACGAATCTCTTCTTAATGTACTCTTATTCGAAATGAAGGTTCCCCTAACAATGCTTATTTTAATGTGGTATGGTGTGCCCTTTAATGCGGACTTCATGAGAACTCTCCATCCTCACCCTTGTCCTGGGAATGTTGATCCAAGTCTGCCACATTGTTGCGCAATCCTCTTGCCATAGGTTCTATCAGAGTATCCCTCTCGCCACGTAGGATTCGCCTCCTACCTTCCTGGTTCAGGCATTTCGCTCCACCCCTGCCACACTAGCCGAACTGCTCGAGGCGCTATTTCGCACACTTTGTCTCAAGACTTTGATGGCACTCCCGCCTCGCTAAGTAAGCCCACAAAGCCGGCATTCTTAAGCTGGATGGGAGACTAACTTGGGGCTAAAGCTCCCGAGGAATTCTCCTCGCCAATCCTTTGCTTCATGGACCACGTCTATGATCAAAAACGTCTACTGTCAGCTAACCAGCTCTAGTCTCCGCCCCATCTATCGTGCTTCTATTCATAGTGCCAAGTCTATGACTTCAAATGCCCTAGTCTCTTGTGCCCCAGCCCCTAAGTGATGTGGTTCTACTTGTTTTGGTTAGGTTCAATGTATAACCACAACATGTGTGGATTGGCACACAAAAGAATAGGGCATAGGAAATCATAGACTTGGCATTATGGAGTGTGCTTCTCTAGTATGGGTGTATCAGGATTGATTATTGGTCCTGGCTGTGTCGAAATGACCAGCCTCGGGTTCGAATCCCATTCGGCTGAGGTGCATGGGCCTCGACTACCGTTTAGACTTCGCCTGGCTTTCATCACTATCCCCAACTGGAATCGAACCCGAGACGCATTCGAAGACTTATGTTCGTCAGTGCACTTGACTACACTACTTGTACACTTCTCCGCCACCTTTTGCGGCCTGGAGTAACTACATTTCTGATTCGCTATCCACTATTAGTATCGACTTCTACTCAATGTGAACACAAGTAATTTACTCGATCGCTTTGGTCTCATCAAAGCAACAGTCCAGTCTGGATGAAAATACTTTTTGGAAGATGAGTTCAGGTGAAATTCAATGGCGACGTGGGGCTTATTTTTCATTACATGGGGACATTCAAACATGATTATTTCATGCCCTTATGCAACCTCTGATTGACAATAGTTCTTTTTCAAGTTCTACTCAAACCTAGTGACAATGCTTTTAAAGTCACTAGCCTTTTGAGGCCCCGTTAATAGTGGTACCTTCACCTATCACACAATACGACAAAAATTTATTATACACAATGCCTGGAATAAACGAAGACTTGATGCGGATGTTGTTTCTGGCTTGTTTGTAGCCTCCTTTCATTGAATCGAGTTAGTTAGACCTGATTCTTGCAATTTAGTCTTTCTGCTTCCTCTACACTCGTCCTCATATCTCCTTACAGACTTTAACCATTGACTAAGATAAGAGCTGTATGCACATTACTTCATTTAAGGCGAGGAAGGATTGTTCTCGAACACCTTTTTATAATTTCCCTATTGCAATAGAGTTTCGAGACTATCAGTAAATCAGTAATATGAGATGTATTCACCCTATTTTTTCTAAGGTGATGAAGGACTGGTAGTAGAATTTTCCCAAAATGATATGAGTTGAAGTGACGTTTCCATTGAATTTCACATAGCCTTGCTTTCCCTAAAGTTGTTCTCATCCAGGGTGGACTGCAGT